GACCGATTCATCTCTTGTACACCAACCCACAACGTATTGCGCGTCCATCGTGCATGCAGGATGAGACATTCCACTTGACAGCTGTGTCTTCACGGGCATGACTGTTAGCACACCACAACAGAGTTCGACACAGACGGAAAGACGTACGGTCTTCTTTAAATTGTGTACACCACGTCCTTATTTAGAGGAGACTCAGTTCATCACGCCTCACGTGCTGCTGTAAGCAAGCACTCACCACCACCGTTGTCTGTCGTCCTGATGACGTGTGTCTGGCGCAGTAGATGACATATGAGCGAGTCGTGAGTGTGAACTTGGAGGTCATGGCCACACACTATGGCGTGTGGTATCATTGAAGTGTTCTTCAGTGGCTCCACTTTAGTTTGAGATAAATGCCGCTCTCATTTTACCACCATGTAAAGGACTGTCTACGACACCGGCATAGGACAGGAGTCAGACCCTGCTCATGAGATCAGAGTGTCGTGATAATTATTAATTCAATTTAGCGAAACTTCTTTAAAGTCTCCTGTCATTTATGTAACCAGTCCTTTCGGCTCTTCTACATGCGTATAAATAAGCTGGCGGGATTCAACTTGGAAGCGCGCGACAGTAGATGTACTCGACACATCGTCCCCATTTGAACGTGGTAGAAAGCAATGCCTTCTCACGCACAATTTGTGGTGTGTCAGTTAGACTTGCTTGAGTATCAAATGACCAAAACGATTCCTGCCATTTCTGGCATACCACGCTGCAATAACTTTTTTGCAATTTGTGGGCTGGCCGCTGTTAGACTGACTTGTGATGAGGAATGGTTTTCACATTTCGACGTTTGTGAAGCATGTAAGTGTATCATTGTCAGTGCCCAATCGACCTACCATCCACAGTGCGTAGCACAAAAGTCCGAAGTATGGGGGAAGTTCTGTATTGCCGCATCCTCCGAATTGCCCCCGGCTATTTCTCCGAGTGACGGTTGACACCTCTGTGGGAAATAAGAGTCAGTAGAGAAAGTGAGGGGCCAAGATTAGTCACGTCGGAGGACTTCTTTTATTAACCGGCTTGAGTTTTGTTAAGCATTTCCCAATTTTCCCAATTAATATTAAGTAATGCTGACTAAGAAGTAAAACTTAGCCTTAGCCACCTTAGCTTAGAATTTTGACTGTAAAAACCGCACCAGAATACGACTACTTTCTTATTGCTTTAGCTTACGGGATTGTGGAAATCACGCAATTAGCAAACATTCATTAATCTGACAAGTTGTTGAATAACGTGCACTGCTTTGATGCTGGCATTTAAACAATGACTTTTCTGTTCAGAGAATAAAAACGGCAAGCTAAATACGCTGCAGCAGTTGTTAGTCTAAATAGCACTGAATAAACCATCCACGGGCCATGATAGTCAACTTCATGCCTTAGAAACCGACGTTCTACCAAGCTCAAGTGCCTCTGCGAATACGTCACACATATGTGACGAACCTGGTTGAAAAGAAAACCAGTTGAATTAGGAAAAAAATGAAAGTAATTAGTGCCGTTAAAAAAAACAATAAAACAGATGAGTCGTGGTAATCAACTTTCCCCTATGACCTCTGGCAGCGAATGCACTAGCTGCTTTGTTTATGCTGCAAACAAAACAACACTTCCAGGCCTAAATCCTCTTCTTGAACAAGTAACCCCTTGGATTCCTTACGGAAATCAAAAAGGAAACAAGGTTTGCCTGTGATGCGGAAAGCGAAATTGTCCTTAGCAATAATTTGGTGAGCAAGGAGACAGAGGTTGGCAACACCATCGTGGGCAAAGACATTGGGGGGCTGAACATTGAGGGAATGCCCATATCGCAGCCGTTGTCCTATAGCACCCTACCCTCCAGACGTCACTCTCTTGCCAGTGCAAGTTTGAAAGCAGTAGAGTAATCTGGAGTCAGCAACATACCCTTCTCGGGTTCTATATTGTCATGCCAAGAAAATAGAATTAAAGGTTGCATTTACCTCCAAATAAATTTCTCTGTCCAGTATCCAATTCTTTTCAATAAACAGCTTTAGAGTTCGTTGTAAATAATGCTTTACCTAAAAAATG